CCAACTCTATAATGTGAGTCGGATATGTAATTTACATTTTCTAGTAATCACATTAAAAAGCAAAAAGAAACAGGTGAAATTAATTTTAATAACATTTTGTTTAAATCAATAGCTACTCAGGAGGCAGAGGTCAGGAGGATCTGGGTTCAAAGTCAGTCCTGGCAAATAGTTTGAGAGATCCTATCTCAAAAAAACACTTCACAAAAAAGGGCTGGTGGAGTGGCTCAAGGTGTAGGCCCTGAGTTCAAACCCAAGTACCACCAAAAAAAATATGTATAAATAACATCATTTCAATATGTAACGAATATAATAATATTAACCAAGGTTTTTTTGTTTTTTTTTTTTTTGGGTGATACTGAGGTTTGAACGCAGGGCTTCTCCACTTGCTAGGTAGGTACTCTACCACTTGAGCCACACTTCCAACCCTATTTTTTACATTCCTTTTTTGGGTGTTTTAAGCATTTGAAATCTGGTGTGAATTTATAATTACAACATTCCTCAATTTAGACTAGCCCATTTGAATTGTGCAGTAGCCACAAGGGGCTAGTGGCTCACAAGTTGGACAGCATAGTTTTAGTGGTTTAGCAGAGTGAAATACTCTAGGGAAGAATAAAGCTGTTTTGGTGTGTGTGGTACTGGGGTTTGAAGTCAGGGTTTCACGCTTGCTTGCAGATGCTCTACTGCTTGAGCCAAGCCTCCAGCTCTTTTTGCTCTGGTTATTTTGGAGATAGGGTCTCACTTTTTGCCCAAGCTGGCCTGGATGGCAATCCTTCTATTTTATGCATCCTGTCATAGATAGGATGACAGGATTGAGGTGGGTCTCGTGAACTTTTTGCTCAGGCTGGCCTCAAACAGCAATCCTCCCCATCTCAACCTCCCAAGTAGCTAGGATTCCAAGCATGCCCAGCTTAGGCGATACTTATAATTTCACTATACCAGGAGGTAAATAAAGTCAGATTGGCTCATATTAATGATGGTGAAGTTTGATCGCTTAGTAAAGGGGACTTTCTAGATCTCTGTATTAAAAAGACACATTTTTTTTTCTCTCTTACTAGGTGGTGACTTTGGACATCTTGCAAATAATCCTATATGTTTCAATCATTCACTTTTGCTAAAAATTATTTTAAGTGTGTTGTGTAATCTTTCAATCATATAAGTAGTTTAAAGATGGGTGTGGTATGTACTCCTATAACCCCAGTTTCTCAGGATTTGGGTAGGAGGATCAAAGTTCTAGGCTAGCCTGGAAAAGTTAGCTGGAAACCCTGGCTAAAAACCAAATTAAAAGCCTGGCACCTGTGGCTTATGCTGTAATTCTAGCTATTTGGGAGGCAGGTCAGAAAAATCAAGGTTCGAAGCCAGCCTGGGCTGCGGAGTGGAGGGGCTTAAGTGGTAGAGTGCCTAGGAAGTGTGATGCCCTGAATTCAAGCCCCAGTACTGCCAAAATTAAATAAATAAATAAAATAAAATAATTCAAAGCAAAATAACTGGGGAAGTGGCTCAAGTGGTAGTGTGGTCCTGAGCTCCCGTGACGAGAAGAAAAAGTGTAAAGATTAATATACTGTCCCCACCACCCAATTTAAGAAATAAAATTTCTGTAATCCTAGCTACTCAAAAGGCAGAGATCAGGAGGTTCGCAGTTCAAAGCCTGGGCAAATAGTTTATGAGACTTTATCTCAAAAAAAAAAAAATCACAAAAAGGACTCGCAGAGTGGCTTAAGTGGTAAGAGCACCTGCCTAGCAATTGTGAGGTCCTGAGTTCAAAACCCCAGTGCCACCAAAAGAAAAAAAGTATACAAATCAATGGAATTTAGTTGTTAAGCCATCACCACAACCAGTTTTAAAACATTTTTATCACCTCAAAAAGAGATGCCCTGTGCCTGGTGCCAATGCCTTATGCCTGTAATCCCAGTTACTTGGGAGGACTGAAGTTTGAGGCCAGCCTGGCAAATAGTTCATGAGACCCTCAGCTCCAAAATAACCAGAGCAAAATGGACTGGAGGTGTGGCTCAAGCAGTAGAGAGCCTGCTTTGCAAGCATGAAGCCTTGATTTCAAACACTAGTCCCATCAAAAAAAAATTCCCTGTACAATAATGTAATAATGTTCATAATAACATCATTTGCAATTGCCAAAATGGAAACAGACCAAGGTCTAGCAACTGGAGAATGGATAACCTAAAATGTGCTGTACCCAAACAATGGAATATTATTCCACCGTAAAAAGGGATGGAGTGCTGTATACATACAGAATGGATGAAACTTGAAAAAATTATGTTAAGAAGCCAGACACAAAAAGCCAAATATTATATGATCCCACTTACAGGAAATTCCCAGCATAGGCAAATCTAGAGAGATATAAACTATATCAGTGGTTGCCAGGGACTGGGAGGAAGGCAAGATGGGGAGAACGACTAATGAGTCTGGGGCTTCTTTTCTGGGCGAGGAGAGTGTTCTGTGATTAGATAGTGGTGATCATTACATAACATTGGAAATATACTAAAAGCCATTTAATGATGTATGCCTTTTGTGTGTGTGTGTGTGGTACTGGGGTTTGAACTCAGGGCCTTGAACTGGCTAGGCAGGCACTCTACCACTTGAGCCACTCTGACAGCCCCTTCTTTGTGTTGTGTATTTTCGAAATAGGGTCTCTTGAAATTTGTGCTTGGGCTGATTTGAACCTCGATCCTCCTGATCTCTGCCTCCTGAGTAGCTAGGATTACTAGGTGTAGTACTGCACCCGGCTTACGATTACTTCTTTAACCCAATTTCTTCTCTCTCCCTTAAGTTCTAGTTCTAAGCACATGAAAATGCTTTTCCTGGAATGTGCTATGATTTTTGATGCTTTGCACATACTGTCCCTGGAATGCTTTTCCCTTCCTTCCTCTTTTGGCCAATTTCTACCTATCCATCAGGTCTCACTTAGAAAATGGGAGTTGGGGGTTAGGCCCATGTGTAGCTGAAGTGGTAGAGTGTTCACTAGCAAGTGCAAGGCCCTGGGTTTGATCCCCAGCACCACGGAAAAAAAAAAAGAGAGAGAGAGAGAGAGAGAGAGATGGCCTGTTACTTCTTTCGTAAAACCTGTTGCCACTTCCCCAATTTGATGTCCCTGTATTCACTCGATAGCTGCCTTTAACACAGAATGATGTTATAGAGTGGCATTATAGAGCACAGTCACTTACTTTTGCTATAGTGGTCTGAGAATCCCCTCTGGAGAGGGGGCATTTGAGCTAAGACTTGAAAAATGAGGAAGAGCAGAGCACAGCCATTATAAAGGCCTTGAAATGGGAACTACTCAGTGTACTGCAGGGATAGAAAGCAGGTCCTCAAAGAAGGGACAGTAGAAGATGAGGTTGAAGAGCTGGGAGGCTCTAATAAACAGTTTAGATCTGTCACCTGCTGGCGATTGCCCCACCTTTAGGCATGCAGGATGTAGATACCTAAGCCTGCTGATCCCTAGGCCTGGAATGTGCTCCTTGTCTTCTCTGATTGGTAATAAAATTCTGGTCATCCTTCAAGGACCAGTTCAAAACCATTTTCGAAACCTCTCATTCTTTTAACAGGAATTAATCACCCCTCGGAGTGCTTAATTGACATCCCACAGCATGTATGTCCCCACAGCCCTAATCACATGGTTTATATCTCAGATCACTGTTCACATGCCAGTCTGCCCACCAACACGGTGAGTTCCCTGAAGGCAGAGTCTCTCTTGTCTTAGTCACCTCTGTAGCCATCTCCCTGTACCTAGCCCAGTGCCTGGCTCACAGCAGGTACTTCATGTGACATTTACTAGTCATTTACTTGAGTAGTGGGTGGAGACCAGCACTACTCATGGCAGAACAGAAGGAAAACAAAAATAATAACTTACAGCTCATCACGTGCTTTCTCATTCATTACCTGATTTCAGCCTTCCAACAACCCTATAGGACAGATAGGGCAGGTAATATGAGACTCATTCTCCAGATAGGTTCAGTGGCTCATACCTGCAATCCTGGTTACCTCGAAGGTGGGGGAGCTCAGGTGGATTGCCAGTCGGGCAAAACGTTCTTGAGATCCCATCTCAATAAATAGGCAGGGCACGGTGGCATACATCTGTGATCCCAGATTAACAATAAGATTTGGTTCAGTGAACAAACAGGATAGCTGAGGCCAGAGAGCACATAGCTAGTAAGTACCAATATTGTCCTCTTCAGGTTCAGCTAGGAATGGAGTTAACCTGAAGAGTACTTTGAGGATATAAAGCAATGGCGTTGGCTGGAGTGGTGAACGTGTATGTGCATGGACTAGGGAGAGATCCTAGTCATCCACCACGCAGTTTGCACCCCTGCCAGGGAGGGCAGAGGATTCCTTTCCCTGTTCCAAGCACCTGCAAGAGTCCTCAGCACCATCCCTCAGCCCAGGAAAATGGGGACCCCTCGACCGGAGAATCAAGGATTCTGGGCGGGTGACTCAGATGACGTAAACGATGACTAGTTAGCAGGGGCCTGCCTCTCTGTTGCTATGACAACCGGAGCTTGCCTACTGGGCCCGCCAAGGTTAGCTGAGGCGTGTTCTTCATTAGCTGTAAATTAAGAAAGGGTATTTATGGGGGAGGGTGTCTCTGTGTGTGTTGAAATAAAGACGAAAAAGTATATTTAAGAAACACTGCTTCTCCACCTCGGCAACACATTAGAATCACATGTGCAATTTAAACTCTCATAGCTAGCTGCATTTGACTAATTAGAGTATGAGGTGGGGAGGGCTGGACTCAGACATCACTATTTATTGAAAGCTTCCCAGGTAGTTTCAATTGCAGACAAAGGTGCAAATCCCACTTTTAGCGGCGAAGTGGAATTCTTGTGACCTTCTCAAGATGGCGGCCATCCCGCCGCTTCCGCGTTTACGTGCGCGGCGGGGGTTGGGGGGAAGGCTTTCAACGAGCGCATGCGCCTAGTGTCTCTTTGCTCCCGGTTCCCTCCCTCCTTTTCCCCCGCCTCCATTTTGTTCACGGACGCTGGGACGGTGGGAGCAGATCCATTTCCGGGTTGGTAAAAGGGGCGGCGGCGAGAAAGAGCTTGCCGGGGGGCGAGCGGAACAGGACCAAAGCTGAGCGGAGGTGGCAGAGGATTCACTCCCGGAGCAGCTGCAGCCAGGTCGGAAAAGAGGCTGGAGCTGCTGGGTCCGTCGCCGGGGTGACCTGCGGACCGGAGTGGGAGCGAGAGCCCGGGGAGGGGGGCTTGGGGAGGGGCTTGAGGAAAGCGAGGCGTTGGAGGAGGGGCCTGAGGAGGAGAGGGGTCCTGGGGGGGTGGGATCTGAGGGGCGGGGGGCTGAGTCTGTAGGACCTAGAGAAGAGGGCGTGGGGAATCGGTGTGGGGCGAGCGCGAACTGTGAAAATGGGCAGGAAGGTTTTTGAGAGACGGAAAACAAGGGATCCCGAAAGGGTAGGGTAAGGTGAGTGAGACTACCTCTGCGTGAGGAACGAGGTAACCGTGCGCAAAAAAAAGGAGCTGGGAAGGGAGGACCTGTTGAGAAAGGTAATTAGTAGTATGCCCTGGGTGAGGAGCACAGTGTGACAGTTTAGGGATTGATTTAGGTGAAAACTGATGATTGAGAGGATGACTCGGGAAACTGCTTACATTAGAGGGAAGCAGAATTGAATTATAGGGTGGACTGAGAAATGTTGAGACGCGCTTTGGATGCACCTTGGAGTTGAGGGTACACGTTGGAGTGGTGTGAAGTGAAGGAAGACGGAAATCTTAAAGTGCTAAACGTTTACTTATTGATTTGGAAGGAGAATTCTGAAAAGACAAGTTTAGAGAGAGGAGCTGGAAGAAGCTGGTGTGTACTGGAACACACACCTCCTTCCCCCAATCCACACCTTCGTCAGGAATCAAACTCAGGGCTTTGCTTGCTTAGGCGAGCTTTCTCCCACTGAGCTACACACCAGCCCTGGAATCCATCTTTTTAGTTTTTTTTTTTTTTTTTTTTTTTTTGTGAGACTGGGATTGAACTCAGGACTTCACATTTGCGAAGCAGGTGCTCTGTCGCTTGAGCCATGCCTTCCGTCCATTTTGCTCTGGTTATTTTTGGAGATGGGAGTCTCAGAAGTTATTTGCAGGCTAGTCTCAAACTAACGGGGATCCTCCCAATAGCTAGGATTTACAGGCATGTGCTTCCAACACAGGTTGGAATCCATATTTTTAAAGGGACTTGAATAGCACTACTTTGGGCTCTCCCAAGGGCCCACCTCTTTTCTTCATGCTGTTGTATTTGGCTTACAGTTATGGTTTCTGAATGACTTACTGGTTTTTTTTTTTTTTAGCTACTCTTCTTTTATGAGTCAGAAGAGAACGTCAGAGAATAAGGACTCAAGCCCACCTATGGATTTACTTTGTAACTTTAAAAGGTTGTGTTAATCAAATGAGATCTTTGAAATGGTTGTAAAAAGTGATCTCTGGAAACAAGATTGAGATATTATTTAGAAGACTTGTCTTCAGTTTCTTCTCAGCTTGGCTGCTTTTTTTTTTCTTTTTCCCCTTGTGGTACTGGTGATTGAATTCAGGACCTCAAGCTTGTTAGGCAGGCACTTTGTCACTTGAGCCCTTCTGCCAGGCCGGTGCTGCATTTTTTTATTCCAGAAAAGAGTTGGTTTTGATTTGATGTATGTTTAATTTTAGAACCCTTCTTAAGGAACTGGATTTGATTTTTTTTTTTTTTTTTTGGTGACGTTATTGGGAATTGAACTCATGACTTTGCACTTGCTAGGTCCTTTTTTTTTTTTTTTTTTTTTTTTTTATTCATATGTGTTTGCTAGGTCCTTTTTGGGTTGGTTATTTTTGAGATAGGGTCTCACATTTATGCCTGGTTGACCTGGACTAAGATCCTACTATTTGTGCTACCTCAAGTAGCTGGATGACAGGTGTGCACTACTGTGCTCAGCCATTTGTTGAGATGTAGGTCTCTTGAACTTTTTTGCCAGGGCTGACCTTGAACCAGAACCATGATCCTCCTGATCTCCACCTACCAAGATGTATATATCTATATCTATCTATCTATCTATATCTCCTGTATATCCTGTACACATATATGTATATGTATGTGTGTGTGTACATATATATATATGTTTTGAACTTAGGGCTTCATGCTTGTTAAGCAGGTACTCTAACACTTGAGCCATACCAGCTCCTTAAACTCTTCTTAATACCAACTTTTTTTTTTTTTTTTTGGTGGGACTGGAGTTTAAAACACAAAGCAGGTGTGCTCTACCACTTTAGCCACATCTCTAGTCCTTAGTATTAACTTTTAATCAAAAATTTCATATTTCTCTGTTACATTGTATTGCCTGCCATCAAGATTAAGATAAGAAAATTAGAGCTGGGGATGAATAAGACCAGTTGATGGAGGCTGGGAGAATGTAGTCTTTTATTTTCTAACCACTTGAGTGTTTTACTCTTAACTGACTTTCTTCATGAACCCTTTGAGAATTCACTGAAAAATAGTATTTTAGACAGTTGAGCATTGCTTTGGTCCAGTCACTATCTGTGACTTTGTTGTCAGTTGGTGGGGACCAGTGTGCTTTTGGACAGTTTAGCTGCTTTATTGTTAATCCTTGAAATTCTGAGTGTTTTAGCTTTTTCTTTGGGCATAGTATTCTCAATACTTTGCCCATAGGTAAACTTGTTTAGCTTAGAAGTGTTTCTGAAAGTCTTGACATTTCTGAGTTCTAACGTGGATTTGGTAAAGAGGAAGCAGTTTCTAGTTCTATCTCACACTTAATATCAGTGATGTTTACACTGCTTGGTACTGATTAGTTAGATGTCAGCACAAAGGTGAAATGCAGGGGAGGGTGGAAGGTGTTGAGAACAGTTTTCAGGTATTACTGATGGCTTTTAAGAAGGGAAGCTTAAGAGTCTTGCTCTGTTGAAGAGAAAATTATTAAATGTTCGTTCTTGATTTCTTGGGTTCTCTGGTTGACTCTGGTATACTTAAGTCTGTTTTCCTATTGCTCTGAAGTAATTTTGAAATTCACAGGCTGTTCAGGCTTTTTAAGCAAACCATGGTCTTCATACCAACTCTAGGAAGAACTGTAGGCTATGAAATACACACGTGCGTGCACACACACACACACACACACACACACTCTCTCACTTGTAAAAATCTGTATAATATGCTGATATTTTAACCTGCCTTCACCTTGGGTGGGTTTACAAGCATGTGCCATCGATGACATCTATTCTTGGTTATTTTAAAGAAGGTTTTGAGATAACTCACGGAGGCTCAGCACTTCTGGCTAGTCTTTTGGTATAGCCTACTTCTTTTGACAAAATGGTTTAAAATTTTTCTTATCCTGTCACATTTTCCTATTGCTCTGCTTGAATTAACTAGTCCTAAGTGGAAAATGGCAAAATCACACATTTTTCCACTTCCTTTTGAGTCTCTGGTGGATATCTTGTTTGTGTCACAGCTTGATACCACCAAATTGAAGGGATTCTTACTGTTTCAAATGGAGAGGGTGACAGAAGCTGAGCTGGGGTTTCCTGGGCCAGAGAATGGACTCTGTCAAAGCAAAGAATAGTTGCAGAGACACAAACTGGGACCTTGAAGCTGTGACTAACATTTTGGCAACATGCATCTCCTTGCCAAATAACTTCTTTTCTTCTTGAGTGTGATTGTTGATCTCCTTCTCAAAGTAAGCTCTTGTTGCTACTGTTCTTCACACAACTCCCAAGCAGAAGTTGGCAGAATTCCGGGTGACTGACTGTGTCTTGAGGGATATGCCCCGGATTAGAGTGGCTGGGGCGTTCCATGTCAAAATGAGATTCATTGGCAGATCCTGAGAGCTGCTCTGCAAGGAAATAGAGGCAGCACTCTTTACTGAATGTTCTTGCAGTCTTTTTTTTTTTTTTTTTCCTAAATTCAAATCTGTTTCTTATTCATCTGGTGGTTAAATGTGGAATCATTGTCTTTGCCTAGCTTTGCAAGTCCAGGATGTTGAGGAAGAGAGACAGTGTTTCTAAATCCAACCTCCCACACCTTACTCCCAAGCCTTTGAGCTGGAGGAACCTTACAGGCTACTTTTTTTTTTTTTTTTTTTCTTCCCGGTGCTGGGGACTGAACTCAGGGGTTTGCACTTGCCAGGCAAGCGCTCTTCCACTGAGCTAAATCCCCAGCCTCATTTTGTCTTTTTTTTTTTTTCTTTCTATAAACTTAAGAGCATTTCTTTTCTTTCTTTTTTTTTTTTTTGTCTTGCAGTGCTGGGGATTGAACACAGGACTTTGAGTATACTAGGCAAGCACTCTGCCCAGTTACATCCCCAACCCCCAATGAGTGTTTCTTGATGTTATGGATGGTGGTGGTAGGGGGGCTACTGAAGAATGCTAAATAGAACTTTATGATGTTAGTAGAGAAAAAGCCAATAGGTTTGTTAATATCTGTCAGTTTTAAACCTCTTAAGATTTTTGGCTTATCATGCAAAAAGAGTCTGTGGAGGCATTTATTAGTTATCAAATCGGGGAGCCAGGAGTTGGCTCCTAACTTGCCATTTGGGCTTGGCAAAGTTATAGCAACTTGGAATAACTGTCTGTCTGACTGTGTTCTACTTAGTAGATCTCCTTTTGTTTTTCAGTAGCTAATATCTAAAGATAAAACTCTCTTAGGTAGATCTAGGATGGATTATGGAACTCTTTTCCTGGAATATATGACAGTGGTCCTATAACCTTGGAGTTAACCACAAAAGTGAATCCTTCTGTTGGCCCTGGATTCAGCTTTCTCCTGCCATCATTAGTCCAGAGTATTCTATTCCTGATATGCAGATTTGAGAACTTAGCAGGTTCAGATCCAAAGGTTTTGATGCTTGTCCAGGGCTTTGATTGTGGTAACAAATATTGGAGTTGAGTTTAATGTAGTTTTAGATCTTTCTTTTCTGAAAGAAAAGATAAATATTTTATATCTAAGGAGGGTGATCTTGGGGCACATGGCTCAGTGATAGAGTACCTGCCTAGGAATGTGGTAGATTTCCTCCCCCTTCTTATAATTGGTTTTCAGAAAAATTTTGGATTCTTAAATTTGGTGGATTCAAATTAAACTTCATTTGGATTTTCAAGTACCTCAGTGAAAATTGCTTGTTTTTAGTAAGTATTTATGGTATTTCTTT